AGAACATCCATTTCAAGGGTGTATGCTGGGAAGTTAGGGGTGGACTTCCACCAAGGGGGTTTTACGTGAAGACGGTTTTAAGTTTCCCAGTTGCGGTAGGTTGACTTGAAACCTCCACCCCCCTTGGAGCTGAGACCTCGAAACGTGACTTTGAGGGTTAGATGTGTGGACGGTGTTGATTCGACAAAGGAAGCCGACAGCAGCTTGCATGAGGGGTAGTTACTGTGGCACATGATTCTAAGATAGCATTCATCGGCACAGGGCTGGTTGAAATTCAGCTGTGAATGTCTATGTGCTATGAATCAATGCGCCGCAGTTATTTGAGCTGCTCGAGCTTTCTTGCTGACGGCTTGCGCGACAGAGCCATGACGACCAAGACCTATCGTCGTTTCTGCCGTGAGAGCTTGAGTGCCTATTTTCAGCTATGTACGTCCATGGAGGTTGAACTGCCAGTCGATGGAAGAAGTCAGTGGTGTTTTCATGTGTGAGATGGACCGGAGAGTGTGTCATGCGACGATAGTGAACATTAATCATACTGACAATTCGTTTACAGCATGAGAGCGGCAGACCCATTTCGTGAACACCGTAAAGAACAGTGGGCACAACACATTGCTGATATAAACGAAATCGAACATGTGCAGGAATGGATTGTGCCTGGAGCCATCACTTCAGGATCGAATAGCAGTGTTGAGCTGCTTTGACTCGTCTGGCTGTGGTGTCAGTTTCCCAGGCTCTGTATCCTATTATCACACCGAGATACGCTGTTTTGGCCGTCGGCAGTCGAAAAGGTGTGTCCGGGATCACAAGCTGTGGGCCATGTTTGGTCCGGCTGATCCATTGGCGTGTGAACTTGGAGACCCCCTTACCTACCGCTCTAAAAAGAACAATACTCTTGGTGGGATTGATGTTGAACCCAAACGAGCGAAAGGTGTGCAGGATGTGTGCAAGATCTCCAAGGGCGTTCAAGCCGTCCGCAATGCTGTGCAACGTCCAGCGGATGTGGACATCATCTGCGTATACGATCAGGTGCTCGTGCAGCCATTCATGGGAGTACCTCTGAAGAAGTTCTTTCATGATTAGAAACATACAGAGGGTCCAGAGGATGGGAGCATCAATGGATCCTTTTTTGATCCCTCTAGAAGCATCGATTGACCCAATCGAGGATTTGAAGGGGATGTGATACTTGTGGGGGGCCAACCAAGTCTGAATCATATGCAGAACCCCGGTGATAGGTTGATTTGGTCCAAGGCATGGAGCACGAGGTCGCGGCGGACCGTGTCAAAGGCCTTTTCCATGTCCAATGAGACCTGGAGGCCACCGAACAGTCCCTGAGGACTTGCATCCTGCTGTCTATCACGACAAAGCTGTCGAATTTGCTGGCAGTGCTGTGAGACTCGAAGGAGACACTCTGTGGTGCCTCTCTGCGGGAGGTATGCATAGAATGGTAGGCTTCTAAGGGTTGGATAGGCATGTTGTTTAATGATGGTGGTTAAGATTTTGGAGACTACCTTGAGAGCTGGATGCTGGAGGCAGAGGGGCCTCAGTGCAGCAGGCTGAGTGCTAGGTTTACCTGGTTTGGGTATCAAGTGCAACCATCCATCAAGCCAATGACTCGGTGGAGCCACAATATCTGCACACCAATAGTGTTCTAAGGCAGCATGGATCGGTTTCGCCAGTTCCGGTGCAAGGTGGCGCCAAATGATGGCGGGCATGCAAGGGGGGGCCAAAGCTTTCATCTCAGGTAAGTGGTGAAGGCCATTCAAAATATCTTCGTTGGTGAAAAGAAGGGTTTGGAGGGTGACATTACCTGGATATTGAAAGGAATGGTCCTGAAACAGTTGGCCAAAGAAGTGCTCAATGCGTTTGAGTTCAAGTGAGGGGATGAATGATTGTCCTTGATCATCAAACATCTGGATCTTCTGAGGTCGTTACTTGGGACACAATTTACGGACCATGCGAAACCAATCATACGTCTGATGACGCATGGCCAAGTCAGCGCATTCCTGCAGGAAGTCTTCAAGTTTCTGGCGCTTGTTCATGCGGCTGAAATGGCGAATTTGCTTGTGGTATCTGCGAAACAAAGCCAGGTGCTTCCATGCCGTGAAAAGCGTTGCGGGCAAACGATCAGTCAGTGCTCTCACAACTTTCCTGGCCTGCCACATACGTGCAGTGATGGAAGCAAGCGGATTGCAAACAACCGGCAGGGAGGTTTGTTTGGGGAACCAAATCTTGCATAAATCAATCAAAGTACTCTCTAGTTGAGGAAACAAAGACGGGTCTTGTGCAGTGTGCGAAAGCAAGTGTTGCCTGGCCTCCCAGCAGAATCCCTGCCACCGTGATGTGTTCTGCTTCATTTCCTGTCGAATACGATGGCGATCGAAAAGGACAATCGGTTTGGGTCGAGGACCAGGATACCATTTAGGAATGGTCCAAATCAGGGGATGATGATGTGGTCCTAGAAGGCCAAAGTTGAAAACGAAATCTGTGAGCAGTTGGGGTGAGGTCAAAGGCCAACTGATCTGTGGTTTCCGCATCAATGCAAAGTCGATTCGACTGGAATGAATGCCATGCTTAAATGTCGGCTGAGGATGATCATGACAGTGAAGTGTAACTAGGTCGAACTGCTGGATCAGATTGGAAAACGTCAATTTGTCTCGCTGGGCAGCTTGTGCATACATAGGGTCAGCAGTGTGTACTTTATATGGCATGTGTGGGAGAGGAGTGTTGAAATCTCCACAAACAATGATCTGATTGCTAAGTGGCAAGCGTTCAAGACAATGTAGCAGGTGCTGCCACACATGTTGCCGTTTCGAGAGGATCTGGCGTGTGCCATGTTGCATGGACCAAGCCTGTTGGTAAACGATCACAAAATCATGTGGACGATGAAGGTTCAATCATATCTGAAATACACGTCCATGAACATGGTGTGCAATCGAAATTTGATCCTGTCTGACCAGTGCAATGCGCACCATGAACAGGAGGGAGAAAAAGCGGTCAGCTGAATGCACGATGTGCCAACGCTGGGTGCTCCATTCATTGTTCATTGACCAACCAGATTCCTGGACAACGATGATGTCATAGGGGCTATCATCACATCATTGCAACCATGAATGGTATTCAATCGTGCGGGATGCATTCCATTGAAATATTCGAAGTTGGCCAAATCCAGGCTTAGGTGATGTGGGTGCTAATTTTATCATTTGAGGTTGTGGGGTATTGGCAAGGATGTGTTGTTTAATGCAAAATGGGATTTAATGGGGATACAGCTGTTTGCCCTTAAAAGTGGCATATCCTTCCCTCATGGCTCTAGTTTCGGCTCTAGTTTTGGAGATCGTAAGCGTGACTCAATGGGGTCGAAGCCCGACGACGCCCATGCCTCATGGCATTTTGCAAAAGTGCCTTCTAGGTCTTGTGCAATACTATTCCCACCCATCCCTAAGGCCGAATAACCCTCGCGCCGAATCGAAATTTTCTCCGGACTTAAGACCGAACAACTCAGGTAAATAAGCGCAATCGAAGACCAAAATGGCGGCACGTAAGGGGACAACGAAAATTCAACACAAAAACGATCGAAACATAGCGCCGCCCCGCGAATCCGAGATCGCGCGTTATTCTTAAATTAAGATAGCGCTTTATATATAAAAAACTTAATATAAAATATATTAATTTATAATATTCGGCGCTTTATATATAAAAAAACTTAATATAAAATATATTAATTTATAATATTCGGAAAATAAATATTAATTATATAGTTAAAATTCGTATTTTTATTATATATCAATTTATTTTGGTGGAACGGAATTAATAATTTAAATAAATATCAATTATATTTATAAATGTCGATGATATTTTATTTAGATAATAGAATTTATTATGTTACATCGATTAATAAATTAGATGGGGAAATAGCATTTTCTGACGCTTATGTTGGGGTAGATCGTCATATAATTCATAACTATCAATGAGGAAAACGATCTAGTATTGCAAACATTGTGAATGGGTATAGATCAGACGATGACCAAAAGCATCATCTACAGATCAAGAAGGGACGTCGGACGCTTCCTAGCTGTTGTGCCATGTGCTGATTGGGTGCCGTCCATTTCTTTCATCCACCTTTTGCTCCATAGTGATTCGTAGAACCTGGTCCCAAGTCCAGGCGGCGTGGGAGATTCGATTTGACAGCCATGACTCTCCATGGCGGGTGAGGATTACCCTTTCTGCCTCCGGAGGAGTTTGCCAATAAACCCCCATGGTCCAGTAAACCCTCTTGCTGAGGCCCAAAGAGAGCCGGGGTTTACCGGCTCGACCCAGCCGTAGGGCTCACCTATGGATTTGCCACGAACCGGGCCGTTTGCCATTTCATTTTGCTGTCTTGTTTCAGCGCTTGTCTCCCAAGCTTGTCTTCCATGCGTATGTATCCCTTTTTTGATCTGTGGTCTGTATGCCCTTGCTGTCCTGTATCAAGTGTGCCACAGCATGAGTGTTGGTCTTGCTTTCGCACACCACCGCCATATGCAGCACAACAGCCTCTCTGCAGCCTGCAAAGCCGCTGCAGGGAGGGCTTTGGACGTGGCTGTGAGAGGTGCGCTGGTATGACCTGAGCGGCCTGAGTTAGCCTTTCGACACTTTGGACCTTTGGTCATGGAAAGAAAAACTCAGAAGTCTGGCACGTCCACCCTGCTCCAACTCCGACAGAGGCAAAAGTGAAAAAATGTGAAAAGGGATGTTGTCCGTCGCAAGCTCGTCTCCCTGTGATGTGCAGTTTGCCTGTCGCTGTCCTCTCTCCCTGTCGCTCGTCTCTTGCGTGTGTGAACGGGTCTATTCTGATGTAATTGTGCAAAGAACACCCAGCAAATCCAAAGTAGGTGTTTGATTCTTGTCCGAAGGTATATAAAGAACACATGAAAAACAACATGGTGCATTGAGCCTCGCCCACAGAAGTCAATGCAAAAGTAATGTTCAGTATGGATCTATTGTGATCTATTCAATTCTTTAAATTTTTCATGTGTCCAAGGCTTTCAATGTCCTTTCCACAAGTTCTCGCGGAGATCCCCGGCCAAAGGCGCGTTCACCTACGCGGATGAGGACCTCTACGAAGTCCTTGGGTCCAAAACAAAACAACGCGAGAAGGTCTGCAATGAACCCTGAAGGTCGGTTGTGCTTTTGAAGAGCTATGACAGCTATGAACTTTGAATGATTCTGGATCCAAGCTTTGAGGAATCAACACCAATTGCTGCCAAGGCTCAAAGAATCTCAAAGCGTCGGGCCGCGCGGCTTTGTCGTGACCCACGAAGCTGCTGCTACGACAGCGCTGTGCTAAAAGGTCGAGATCCTGTGAAGGCGACGGTGATCCAGGTCAAGATTGGATCACACTGGACCAGAATAGTAACTTTCCAAGGAAAACAATGGTGGATGTAATTGTGATCTCGAAGCGCTCCGTGTTTCCTACTGCTTTGTGCAGCACATGATCGTATCTTCCTTCATTACATCGGCCCTGCTTCACATTTTGGCCGTTGTACATCTACATATCCACACCCTTCTTCTCATATCTTTGTCAATTTCATGGTCGACGTCTGATTCGGTAACCAAACAGTCTGATTCGGTAACTATGATTCGGTAACCAAAAGCGTTGATTCGGTAACCAAAACGTCTGATTCGGCAACCAAAGCCGCTGATTCGGCAACAAAAACCGCTGATTCGGTAACCAAAGCCCGCTGATTCGGTAACCAAAACCGCTGATTCGGTAACCAAAACCAGGAAACCAAAACCAAAAACATTTCCAAAAGAAGAAACTGATGACCCGGGTGGTAGTAGTAGTAGTAGTAGTAGGAGGTGGTGGTGGTGGTGGTGGTGCCACCGATACAAAATCTCTCCGCGAAGCAGCAGGAGAAACGTTTTTATCTTGGCCATGACTCCCCCCC